AAAGTTTTTAAAGCAAAATTATAAGTTCAAAGAGGAAATAACTTTTGAAATAAAGATGCTAGAGTTATGAACCTTGTCATTCATGATGTGAGTAATAAAAAGAACAATTATCTTAGGTCTAGAGTAGATACCATTTATAATAACAAAGATAATTTATATACAAGACGGCCAAGATGGCCCTGAAATCGCTCACCTGAGTATAAAAACTCTCCATGACAAGGGACAAGTAATATTGTGAACTATAAACAAAAGCAGATATAAAATCTAAATATAAACTGATATCACAAAGTTCAAATTTGTATCTAAAATAGTGCATGTATAAAAACATAACCAGTTGCTATTGCTAATTCCAAAAGATGTGTATATATAAGAACAAGAACTGTCGGAGGACAGTAACGCTCGACTATTCGAAAATTTGTCACAAGGGTGTTTCATTGATTATAATAATGCTTACCTATATGAATACATAAAATTGTCGGAAAAGGTACAAACCCTTCAAGTTTCAATACATTCCCTTCAGTAGTTATGGAGATACAAGCTTACACACAAAAACTTAACCAAGAATTTATGAATCCAAAAAGGGGCATTATTATGCGAAAAAGAAAATCCAAGTTATGGGACTTGTGCCAATCATCTTAGATAATCACAGACAACAAGAGTGTTAAGTTTCAATCCATTCCCTTCAGTAGTTATGGAGATACCAGCTTACACGCAAAAAATTAACCAAGAATTTCTAAGTCCAAAAAGGGGCATAATTATGTTAAAAAGCAAATCAGACTGATGGGCCTTGTGTCAATCATCTTAGATAATCACAGAGAACAAGTGTGTGAAGTTTCAATCCATTCCCTTCAGTAGTTATGGAGATACCAGCTTACACGCAAAAACTTAACCAAGAATTTCTAAGTCGAAAAAGGGACATTATTAAGTAAAAAAGCAAATCAGAGTTATGGGACTTGTGCCAATCATCTAAGATAATCACAGAAAACAAGTGTGTGAAGTTTCAATCCATTCCCTTCAGTAGTTACGGAGATACCAGCTTACACGCAAAAACTTAACCAAGAATTTCTAAGTCGAAAAAGGGGCATTTTTATGTAAAAAAGCAAATCAGAGTTATGGGACTTGTGCCAATCATCTTTGATAATCACAGAGAACAAGCGTGTGAAGTTTCAATCCATTCCCTTCAGTAGTTATGGAGATACCAGCTTACACGCAAAAACTTAACCAAGAATTTCTAAGTCGAAAAAGGGGCATTATTATGTTAAAAAAGCAAATCAGAGTTATGGGACTTGTGCCAATCATCTTAGATAATCACAGAGAACAAGTGTGTGAAGTTTCAATCCATTCCCTTCAGTAGTTATGGAGATACCAGCTTACACGCAAAAACTTAACAAGAATTTCTAAGTCGAAAAAGGGGCATAATTATGTAAAAAAAGCAAATCAGAGTTATGGGACTTGTACCAATCATCTTAGATAATCACAGAGAACAAGTGTGTGAAGTTTTCAATCCATTCCCGATCAGTAGTTAATATGGACATACCAGCTTACACGCAAAAACTTAACCAAGAATTTCTAAGTCAAAAAAGGGACATAATTATGTAAAAAAAGCAACCCAGAGTTATGGGACTTGTACCAATCATCTAAGATAATCACAGAGAACAAGTGTGTGAAGTTTCAATCCATTCCCTTCAGTAGTTATGGAGATACCAGCTTACATACAAAAACTTAACCACAAATTTCTAAGTCGAAAAGGGGCATAATTATGTAAAAAAGCAAATCAGAGTTATGGGACTTGTGCCAATCATCTTAGATAATCACAGAGAACAAGTGTGTGAAGTTTCAATCCATTCCCTTCAGTGGTTATGGAGATACCAGCTTACATACAAAAACTTAACCACAGGGACGCCGACGCCGACACCGACGCCGACGCCGACAAATGGGTGACTGCATTAGCTCGATTATTCTGCGAATAGTCGAGCTAAAAATCAATGACCCCCTGGGACGGGCCAATTTTGATCCCATAACTTTTATTTAAACAAACTTGGTACACATTCACCAGATGATTCATGCAAAATATCTATGCTTTAGCTATTAAGCTTTTTTTTTAAAAGAAGATTTTTAAGCTTTTACTATAAACATATAAGGAAAATCAATGAGCACACATGGCGGGGCCAATTTTGACCCCAGGGTTTTTATTTGAACAAATTGGTAGACTCTAACTAAAAGATGTTTCATGCCATATATCTAAGCTCTAGCTCCTTTGGTTTTTTATAAAAGAGATATTTTAAGTTTTTCTTTCAGTTGCCATGGCAACCAGAGTTCTGCATTGAATTAAATACTTTGAATTAAAGTTGACCACCAAAGGAACATTCCTGTGAAGTATGGATGAAATTGGCTTAGCACTTTATGAGATGTTGTTTAAAGTAAAAGTTGATGGACCCATGCCGGACGAAAAGGGATCACAAAAGCTCACCATATCCCTTTGTGACAGGTGAGCTAATAAGATAAAATCCATTTCAAAAACAGTTTTTATCCAAAAAATCCAAAACTTTCATCTGAAATCTGAATGTGGATGCCAACGCTGTGGTGAGGACAGCTCTCCATATACTTTGCACAGTCAAGCTAACAATTGGCATTTTGGAACCAAAATATAGATTTCCAACTTCAAAGTATATTGATGAATATGAGCAACAATGTAATATATTTTGCTGTTGTATCATTGATTGAATAGTGTCTGTATATCTGACTTTTCACTTCTTATTTATATGAGAAATAAACAATAACAATATTAGATATAAAACATTTTATATAGTTAACATATCTTTAACTGCATTTATAACTCATGTAAACAGCATGACAAAATATGAAAATTTCAAATTTATACAAATGAAAACATGTTATGTATTTCATATAACTTTGACCATACATTGATGTACAACAATAGAGGCAAACATAACAAGGAATATCAATATATGAGCCGCGTCATGAAAAAACCAACGTAATGCGTTTGCGACCGGCATGGATGCAGACCAGTCTGATCAGACTCCATGCTGTTTGCTATCAGTTTCTCTACTTGTAATAGAGTTGGCAAGCGAACAGCATGGATCCCGATAAGACTACGCGGACACGCAGGTTAGTCTGGATCCTTGCTGGACGCATACCCACTTGTCATGACGCGGCTCATGTACTCCAATGTACCTGTAATGGGTAGTAAGAATAAGTTATCTGTATGAAAGTCTCAGAGAAATTGATGATTTAATGATAGGTGTTAAACAGTCAAAATCATTTCTGGCACAATATAATAAAATGAGCATATTGTCATATTCACCTCGTTTTTTTTTCCCTTTTGTCAATACATAACTGTATCTTTATAGTTTGCTTTAACCATGCTAAACTAAAAACTGATGGAGATAATAAAACACAAGAGGGCCATGATGGCCCTAATATTGCTCACCTGAATATAAATACCTTTAATGACAAGGAAAAAGTAAACTATAAGCAAAAGAAGTCTCTTGTTGCTATTCAAAATCAGTGGTTTCTTTGGAGGTCACTGAATGCTATGCAATTCAATGGTGAAGTTTGGCTAAAATTAGCCCAGTCATTTATGGGGAATTGTTGTTAAAGTAAAACTTTACAGACAGTCAGACGATGGATGGACTGACACCAGACAAATTGCAATCACAAAAGCTCACTTGTCACTCTGTGGCAGGTGAGCTAAAAAAGTGAATATAGGTGATTAAAGTTTTCACAGGATCACTTTGAACTTGACAAGCACCTTATCAATGTGGGTGATCATCCTATGTAGTAAGAAGTATATTGGTCAGTTGGTTCTCTTGTTATTGAGTGAAAACAATTTTTAAAGACCTTGACCTTCACACGTTGGTGCATGAAAATATTAAGTGTCTGTTACTCAACATTGAATGGTTCAAATCCTATGAAGTTTGAAAAAAAGTTCTTATATCCTTGAGTGGAAATGGTAACCTTGACCTTTATGCATCTGCACCCAAACAAAGAGGCATTCCACTAAATGAAGGTGATTTTCCTATGAAGTTTTATGGCTTTTGGTCAAATGGTTCCCTAGTGATTGATCACATTCAAGGCCACTGACCTTGACCTTCATGCATTTGTGCCCAAGAACAATAGGTGTTATACTCAATGAGAATGGCCATCCCATGAAGTTTGAGTAATCATCTAATCAAGTTTAAGTGAAATGGTTCTCTAGTTATTGAGCAGAAACAATTTTCACATTCAAGGCCACTGACATTTACCTCAAGGCATGTATGCCCAAAAACAGAGGCCTTCTACTCAATGAGATTAATCATCCTATAAAGTTGGAACGGTGTGCATCAAATAGTTCTCTAGTTATTAAGTGGAAATGGTTTTCACAGTCACTGTGACCTTGACCATTAAGCATGGGCATCCAAAATTAATAGGAATCTTCTATTCAATAAGGGTAATCATCTTATAAGGTTTGAAAGCTTATGTCATATAGTTCTGTAGTTATTGAGCAAAAAAGCATTCTCACATTCAAGGTCTCCATAACATTGGTCCTCACACATCAGCATCTGACTGACCATTATTTGCAAAACAATATGGCACGCCTCGATAATTAGATAAATAAAAACAGTAATATTTTTAGATAATTTTGATTTTCTCAAAATTTACTTTATACAGAGATACATATTTATTATAAGCAGTTTCTGAAATTTCATACACCAGTATTTATCTTATATCTAGATATACAGGTTTAACACTTAATCCAAGTTTAAATTTAGCAATTGCAAAATGCAAATGAAAAAAAGAAAAATGTGAGTAACTCTTCTTTTAATTTGCAAACTTTTGCAAATGAAGCAGGCAGTTAAAGAACATAACTTGGTAAGATTTTGTAAAAAGACATGAATTATTAATAAAAATGTCATCATCAAAGGCAAAAATTGTGCCTTGTTTATTCCAATTATTCTCCTTTCAAAATACATGTAATTAACTTTGCTGAAAACATTATTTCCTAAGCTATCCAGTGACTAGGTATCTTTCCATATAGGTTTCATTTACTATCGTTAGCCAATCAGAGTGTTCCTTTTACAGGTAGGAGAAGCTATCAAGGATCTTTACAAAACATCAGAATGGTCTTAGACAAGTTCAATAAATGACAACTTTGAGGCACTTTCTCAACTTCAGTAAGAAACAAGGTGATGGTCTTTTTTATGCTAATTGATGTCCGAAACTGCACAGTCCTGCCAGTTTGTACTGCTATTATTGTCTACCATTGGTGATTTTTTGTTATAATTACAAATGGATATAAAAAACTTTATTAGATAGCATACATGTACATGGCTTATATTTAACTAATTGCATATACGTTTTTTACGTTAAGCAATTACAAAATAAACAGATATATGTAGTTCATGGATATTAATACAATGTTGAAAAAAAAGTTCTGATTGGTTTCAGTGGGTTAAAATTTATTGTACTCGCAAAATTTGCAAGTGAATAAAAATGTTTAAATCTAGACTTGTTTATCTGCTGCATTTTTGTAATGGATCTGTCTTGTCTTAAATGTGGAACAGTCCATTTAATGAATTTCAGCATGTACAAAAACTGAGCTACTAACAGTATATAGCCTCATCAAACTTCATACATGCTGACCTGGCAAAGGCTTATCACTTTCAGTTGGCTAAATGTTAATTGTCATATCTTTGATAATTGGAGAAAGTTAATTCCCTCAAAAATGCTTTTTTCTGTTTGCTATTAATTAGAAAACAAAAGATTTCTCAAGACAAATTATATCCAATACTGTATGTCAGGTAAAACATGATTATGTAAATGTTTTATTAAACAGGAAAAAATTCTCAATCAATGCATGATTGTAAATGCATTAGGTAAACATTTTCCATTTGGAAAGTTTGCCAACAACGAGGACATTCCCAGCCTGGAATATTTGACAGCTTTTGTTCATCTTGATCTCCTAGTGACAGATTATTTTGAAATATTTTATGTGGTCTGTTTTCTGGGTGTATGTTTAAACCACAGTTTCTTGAGTTATACGGAGAGGTGTTTGAGTGACTGGAGCCGTATCGTGCATTCTCTCTCGACCGATTACTGCCACCTGATCTGTTCCTTTCAGAAGACACTGTTCTTTGTGATGTAAATCTTAAACTTGGGAAATCTTCCAGCGAGCGGGTTTTCTCTAGAGCATTCTTTTCTTGGCGAAGTTCTTCATACTAATAAAAAAAAAGCAAGTAAATCAAGAGAAGAAAACACAAAAAAAATATTTAAAAGCATATTTATTCACGATCATTTCTTTATTCCAACAAAACTGCCTTAAAGATATGCAGAGTTGTGTAAACTAACAAATAATCAAAGTCAATAAATAATGAATTTATTACACTTCTTTTTGCTTTACTTTAATTTTAACTGACATGATTATTATGTATATGCCTCTTAAAAAATTTCTAGGATTTACAATAGTTAAATAAAATTTCTAGTAAATCAAAATAAGTACAGATCACAGAGATAACAACAATGATTTTATAAAGTAAAAAATTGAATAAAGTGGACAAACTAGAACTGCCACTGTCATGGCGTGAATACCCCCGCATTACACTTTGTCAGAATCACATTTTTGAAATCAAGGCCCTGTGACCTTGACCCAGTGACCTCAAAATCAATAGGGGTCATCTACTCACCATGACTAACCTCCATGCCAAATATGAAGACTGTGGGTCAAAGGAATCTGAAGTTATTGGCGGACAAGGAAAAACTAACGGACAGCCGGACGGAAAAGCTGATTCCAGTATACCCCCTATAACTTCGTTGTGTGGGGGTATTAATATGAAAATTGCACATCCATGCTTCTTCAATATTGTCAGTGAACCAAAACACAGCATACATTTAAAGGAATATTTAGGTAAAATAATGACAAAAATACTAAAATGATCTCATGTACTCAAATCACGCTAAAATGATGTTTCTTAAAGTTCCAGCTTGAATTTCTGCTTAAATTCTATTTTTTGGGGTTTGAAACGTAAATATATCTATATATGTTTAACATGTGTACACAGTATCTTGAATTTTTTGAGAGTGTACGCAGTATCATAAGGTCTATTTCCTGTAAATAGTACGTTTTAAGACATTTTTCGTACAAAGGAAAAATAACAAAGATTTAAAATATATTAATGAAACAGGTTCTACAATAAAATAACTTCCAGCTGTGTGAAACTTTCAGTTTAATCGACAATTTCTCAATTTCCGTAACATTACAACGCTGGGTGTATGCAATATGCAGAATCAAAATTGCATTCAACGCGAAATATTGACAAAAAAAGGAAGACTTGTGTCAAGGCATTTGGAATATCAAAACTAGAAGTAAGGACATCTTCTTTGCAAAAGAAATTAAATTCAAATCGTTTTTTTGTTTAAAATACCAGTTGAAAAAGTGTTTGAAGTATCAGAATTTTGAGGATGCGCGCACATGGTATGACCCCCTTGCAAGCACCATTGATATCATGCTACCAAAAAAAACTTTTCTCTGAGTACTTTGTGCTTAGGTGAGCCAAAAAATGAGTGGTTTATCAAACAAACAAAATATTCATTGAAATAATATATGAGCTGCGTCACGACAAAACCGACATAATGCGTTTGCGACCAGCATGGATCCAGACCAGCCTGCACGTCCGCGCAGTCTGATCAGGATCCATGCTGTTCGCTATCAGTTTCTCTATTTGTAATAGAGTTTGTAAGCGGCTCAATTACATAACACAATTCACCTGTTGTCTAAGTGAGCCAAGCTGAGCTGACATCTTCCTTGTATCATCTGCTTTTATTCTAAGTCTTTCATCAGCATTCCTAAACCTAGCTTTTTCTTCTTGCAGACAGGTACTTAAAATCTTAACCTTAAAAGATCATGGACAAAGTGAATAATTTTAATCAACAAAATTAGTTTAAGCACATTTACTTTAGTTTGTTGGTGATAAAATATTGAAGCTTACTTCAACCATCTATTTATGAGTCTGTTCCTATATTTAACCAGTTCAGATGCCATATAAGGATTTACACCCACTCTCCCTGAGCTAAGAGATAGACACCTTAACTACTAAATCATCTCTCCCCTGGTAGTTAGGTCTATGTACATACTAGAAATTATTTATCCAATTATTAACAACTGTTTCATTGAGAGAATTTTTTTCTAAAAATCTTACATTTTCTACTAATGCTTCATAGGCTTCATTTTTCTGAATAAGCTCTCTTTTCATGTCTGCTTTGTCTTTTATCAACATGTTTTCCAATTCCTCCTTTTCATCTTTGATCAGCTGGAAAATAATTTTGGTATATCCATTAACAATGGACATTATACTGCTGACATTTTATTATGGATTGCTTTAAATTCTGACCTGTTCATCTTTTTGTGGAACAGTTTATGTAACAATTGGTCTACCAACAGTATATATGTAGTTTGATCTAACTAAATAAAGAGCAGACTGCCTGTCTCTGTATAGAGTGTAACTTCCGAAATCTGGAACTTCTGAAATCCGGAAACTTCTGAAATCAGAACATTTTTCAGGGTCCCGAAATTTCACCTTCTGTTTTCTATATAATTAAAACCTAGGAATTATGGAACTTCTAAATTCCGAACGATTTTCAGGTAAAATTTGGGTTATATCAACTGAAATCTACTTCCAAAATCCGGAAATGATAAGGTGTGAAGGAATATCTTAAACAATTGATGTTAAGTGTTTCTTTTTGTTCGATTAATTCCGAACCTCTGAATTCCGGTAACTTCAAAATTCAGAACTTTTTGGCTAGTCCCATAGGTGTTTGGTTTTGAAGTTACACTGTATATGCACTGTATTAGCTCTATATAGGTGGCATAGAAAAGTCACAGTTGATAAAATTAAATGATTAAGTTTTTTTTATTGCTCTGAGATTTACTTTAACTAAAATTTGTCATTTGGTTTTCCCCAAAAGTATGTATTTGTCTCGTGTTGATTTTCTATGCATTTACCTAGTGTTTTTGTACTTTGGAAAGAAACTGGAAGGATAAAATGTTGCATGTTTGGTAAGAGATATCAAAAATTGGTATATTAATCTATTTACAAATTAATTTATGATTATTATAATACTATTACATTATAAATATGGAACATGGCAATGGACGTTGTAAAATGTGTTTGCCAATAAAATTTTTGAAAAATCTTGAAAATCTTGTTATTTACATGATAATAAACAAGAAATGTTTTTTAAAACATGTATACCATCCACCCCCAAACACTAGCCAATTAGCCAAGTGGCAAGATCATTCTGACCAAGTTCAAGTTATTGGTTACATGGTCAATGTGACCTTGACATTTGACCCTGTGACCTCAAAATCAATGACCTAAACACCAATGAAGTTTGAGGGCAAATGGCCCATGGATTGTTAAATTATTGGTGGGAAACCATTTTGACAAACAAAGTGAATGTTACCTTGACCTCGGCCCCCTGCTCCCATAATCAATAGGGTGCTTGACTGGCAAAGACCAATGCACCTATATATTTTGGGGTTGTTAAGTTATTGGTCGGAAACTGTTTTACAGACAAGGTGAATGTGACCTTGACCTTTAATCACTTGACCTTCAAATCATAAGGGGTCCCCTACTAGCCAACACCAATGCACCTGCAAAGTTTGAAGAGCCCATGGGTTGTCAAGATATTTTGTTATAAAAGGTCAATGTGACCTTGAACTAGTGACCCCAAAAAGTTACAGGTTGGACAAATCTCAATACAAAGTAAGATGTTCCTAGGTTGAGCATTCTTAGCTATTTCTTGGAAATAGTTCTGTATACCGACCAACAAATACCCCTACTTCTTTGAAAGGGGCATAATAACTGAGTTATAAACAGACTGGAATAAACAATCCCAACACTGACGACTGTATAATATGTAATATGATTAGAAAAAACACTTTTATTTCCAAGAACTCAAAAAACTTACTTGATTCGTCTTTGTAAGTTCTTCAACTTCTTCTCTTAATCTTAGAATTTCTGCTTCAGTGGATCCCTGGTAACATAGATGCTAGCTATATTATCACAATCATAGATGCTAGCTATATTATCACAATCATTTATCTGGTAACATAGATGCTAACTATATTATCACAATCATTTATCAATTAATTCAGATAATGTAAAGTGATTATGGAATGACAACAGCCTAAGACATTAACAAAAATAAGAAGATCATCTAAAGTATCTCTGTCCATGAGTGCAATTATTACAAGAGAAACTGTGGAAAACTGCATCAGAATTGCAGAACCACAGACAAAGTGGGAACAAATAGCCCAAAAAGTACCTGTAAATGGTGAAAGAGATAGAATAATGCCATGAAAAATCAATAAATTGAAAAACCAAAATATTTCATACAACATACATAATAAGTATGTGTCTTAGGAAATTTCATCAAATTACAAGTAGATTGTACATTTAATGCAGAGATATATTTCATTTGGGAACTCTTCTACTTCACCACTTTAACAATAATTGTTTCTAATTACAGCTTTTCTAGCTTAAAAAAAATTGGTTGTACTCAAAACTACTCACTTAACAGTTGTATTTTATTCAGAAGTGCTTTTTCTTTGGGCTTTGGTTGTAAGTTCACTAACACAGTCTAGTTCATATGGCCACTTTCTAGTTACAGGCATTATAGGCACCTGAGTAGAATCAAAGTCACTCTGTAAGCTAGCTGGATAGCTTCCTCATTTGAAAAAAATGCAAAGACCCTTTCAGGCTGTGAGGAAAAAGTGGTTCAGAAGTGCTTAAAGCTGATGTTACTTACTTGGGAACTTGGATCACTATCAGTCTTAGATTGCTCTGCTGAGTCACTCTCTGAGCTCAACTCAAAGCTTTCATCTTTCACATGCAGCTGCTTTAGTTGATCTATTTCTCCCTCTTTTTCTTGAAGATGTCGCTTAAAAGTAATGCCACAACATAATTTCTATTGTCAAAATATCATTCTTGTACAGGGTAAGAAAAGAATATCATAGGAAAAGAAATATAAAAGCCAATTCTTAAAGGGACTCAACTGAGGTTTAAAAGCCTAAAAACATAACATTAGAATTTCTTACATAAATGAACTGGGGGGCTTAAAACAGAAATATGTGCAAAGATAGTTAAGAAATATACTTTAAAATAAATCGTAGTTTTATGCTTTTCTTAGCCTAATTTGAGTGAAAAGCGTTAAATTTTTTTTTACAATTTGTATAATTATTATGGAAAAACGAAGTGCGCGAATGATCAGAAAGTTTGCACAAAGATTTGTGGTCTACACCTACATCAAATGGTACATTTATCTGGAAAAAAATATTTTCTGTCCCATCATGTCAAAAAACCTCAGTGGGGTCCCTTTAAGAAATAATTAATTTCATTTCAATAATGTAAGTTCAATTCTAATTTATCAAATGAGAATAATAGGATAATCCAGATGTTTACATATTGTGTCTCTTCAAATGTTTCAGATGTAGGGAATGACAAATCATCCCATGTGAGAAATAAAAATTCTAGAAATTCCTAAAAAAAATTTTGAACTCCATGCAAGAATTAATCATGAAAAGATCCATGTCCACCTTTAAGTTTCTGCAACTTTTCATCTTCTCTTAAAGAACATAATTTCTCATAATTGGTCGCTCTAAGTGAAAATCTTAAAATATAAGTAATGCTTAAACAAATTGGTTGATTTTTCTCTGTACAGTTTTAAAGTCACACACACACACAAAATGGTCATATGACCATTATCTAGCTTTATTTTAACAGACAGCTGACCACATATGTCCCTCTGTGCATTATTTCACAAACAGAAATATTAGTAAAGTCTGAATACCTTAAATCAAGTGGATAGCAGCAAAGAATCTAAAGCCTCTAGCAGTATTTGAACCCATAAAGAATCAAGGGGCAAATGAGTTTAAGTGACTGTAACCATTCTGCCATAGACGCATCAAAAAGCATGAGGAAAGAATTGAGCCCCGTCATGACAAAACCAACATAGTGCGTTTGCAACCAGCATGGATCCAAACCAGCCGGCGTATCCGCGCAGTATGATCAGCATGGATCCTGATCAGACTGCCCGGATGAGCAAGCCGGTCTGGATCCTTGCAGGTCGCAAACCCATTATGTTGGTTTTGTTGTGACGCGGCTCAATTACCTGTAATTTCTGATTGGAAAAACGGAGCTGTTGTATTTCATTTCTCATTTTATCCATTTCTTTTTCATTTGTTGCAGTATCACTCTGTGTTTTCTAACATTTGAAAAAAGTACAATGTATTAAAATATACAAAAATATAAAAGATCTCATTTACTAAATGATGTATTTTTTTTATTATCAAATTGTCTTTATGTATTAATCAAATGAATTTTATTTATGTTAATAAATGATTCTTTAAAGTTATTTGAAGAGAATGAAAAGTCTGAAACTAATGGTTGTTCAGTATATAATATAACTAAGTTATCATTTTTTAATATATCTCTTAAACTTTTCCTTACAAAATATCATCCAGGGTAAATATCAAAATTGTATTATGAAATGCAATCTTACATTTTATTTAAAACTTTCCATTTAAAAGGCTAATTTAAAATTTATTGTTTACCTGTTTCATTTGTAGATTATGCAGTATACTCTTGGTTTTCATTAACTCATTAATAACATTGTTGAAATACTGTGCTGAAACACCAGGAGGCTCCTGAAAACTATCTCTTAAACTGAGGAATTCACTTGAATCTCTATCGGAGGAGGACAATTTTCCGGAGGAGAGAGAGCCGGGATCCTCGATACTCCCGCTAGCTCCATCTGCACTTACATGCACTGAACTACCTTGACTTCTATTGTCTGAAGACCATTTGTCAGTTCTTTGTTTCGTATCAGGAAATAAAAATATTTCTGGTGACGATACCTTTCTCGTATCTTGTAGTTTGTCATAACTTTCTGGAGCAGATTTTGATCTTAATACCGGCTCCTTGCTGCTTGTAGGTGTAACTCTCATCTCATCTAGTCTTATCTTTTGTTCTAAATGAGCACAGTGGTCTTTAAGATCTTTATTTTCTTTTTGTATTAAGCGCATATTTTGTAAAAGCAGCTCAAGGACTTTATCCACATTGCCATTTTGCTGCAGATTTTCAGTATTCTGCCATGGTGTTAAATGTCTGATAACAGTTCCTTGGGGTAAGAATGAAGGATCTGACTGCCCAGGAGTCTGCTGGTTATTTATCTGCTGGGTCCTGAACTCTGTCTGTGACATTTGTGTATATTCTGACAACGCTTTTTGATGTAAATCAGAAGGTTTAAACATTGTGCTTAATTTTGTTCTTCATATACCATTTAAATCCTCCTCCAATGGCTTTATCTGTGAGAAACAAGATAAAACAAAGTGTATTGATAGTTAAGATTATAATCATTTTAAAGTAAGAAAGTTGTACTACTTTTGGGAAAAAAGTTATGTTAATGACATACCATGATAAGCAAAGACCAACACATGAACATCTGAAATGTTTTAATTTAGATCTTCAGTTTAACAAGAGGGCCATGATGGCCCTAAGGTCGCTCACCTGTATAAAGGCACCCAGAGCGGGGCCAGTTTAAACCCCAGGGCTTTTTATTTGAACAAACTTGGAAGACACCCATTAGAAGATGTTCACGATGTTAAGTTTTTACTACACACATATAATGAAAGATAAATATGTTGTATTTGAAATACAAATACAAGCAACAAACAATGTAACAATGTGCAATGTAAAACATGAATAATGTAGGAGGAATTGCCACAGAAGAAGTGTTCACTATATATTCTGTATAAGGAAAAAATATTATATTCTGTATAAGGAAAAAAAACAAAGGGCCATAATTAGGTAAAAAATTATCTAATCACAAAACCTCTACAATATGCACCAGGGCACTTGATGACAAAGCTTCTGTGAAAGTTTGAACAAAATCTGTTGAGAAATGTAGGACTAGTTCAGCACAGAAGAATTTGTTCACTATATATTGATAATTCTGTATAAGGAAAAAAACAAAGGGGCATAATTAGGTCAAATATTATCCAATCACAAAACCGCGACAATATGCGCCAGGACACTTGATAACAAAGCTTCTGTGAAAGTTTGGTCAAAATCCGTTGAGAAATGTAGGAGAAGTTGCGCACGGTAGAAATTGTTCACAATATATTCTGTATAAGGAAAGAAACAAAGGGCCATAATTACGTCAAACATTATCCAATCACAAAACCCTGACAATATGTGCCAGGGCACTAGATAACAAAGCTTCTGAGAATGTTTGGTCAAAATCCGTTGAGAAATGTAGGAGGAGTTGCGCACAGAAGAAATTGTTCACAATATATTCTATATAAGGAAAAAAACAAAGGGCCATAATTAGGTCAAATATTATTCAATCGCAAAACCCGGACAATATGTGCCAGGGCACTTGATGACAAAGCTTCTGTGAAAGTTTGGTCAAAATCCATTGAGAAATGAAGGAGAAGTTGCGCACAGAAGAAATTGTTCACAATATATTCTATATAAGAAAAAACAACAAAGGGCCATAATAAGGTCAAATATTATCCAATGGCAAAACCCCGACAATATGCGCCAGGGCACTTGATAACAAAGCTTCTGTGAAAGTTTGGTCAAAATCTGTTGAGAAATGTAGGAGGAGTTGCGCACAGAAGAAATTGTTTACGTCGCCCACCCGCCAATCCGCCCGCCGACATACCTCAATCTAATTACCAGTTTTTTCCTTCGGAAAACCTGGTTAAAAACAACAATCTACCCCCTCCTTCCGCCCCCCCCCCCCCTTGGCAGGGGCAATTTTAACCCAAGGGCTTTTATTTGAACAAACTTGGTAGACGCCCATAAGCTAAACATCTAAGCTCTAGCTCATTGGATTTTTTTTTTTAAAGAAGATTTTTTAAGTTTTTACTGTACACATATAGTTAAAACCAATGACAACCCTGGGGCGGGGCCAATTTTGACCCCAGGGCTTTTATTTGAACAAACTTTGTAGACAATTACTAGAAGATGTTTCATGCTAAATATCTAAACTCTAGCTATTTGGGTTTTTTCAAAGAAGATTTTTAAGTTTCTGCTATACAACAATAAGGAAAATCAATAACACCCAGGGCAGGGCCAATTTTGACTCCAGGGCTTTAATTTGAACAAATTTTGTAGACACTCATTAGAAGATGTTTCATGCTTAATATCTTAACTCCAGCTATTTGGGTTTTTTCAAAGAAGATTTTTAAGTTTCTGCCATACAACAATAAGGAAAATCAATAACACCCAGGGCAGGGCCAATTTTGAATCCAGGGCTTTTATTTGAACAAATTTTGTAGACACTCACTAGAAGATGTTTCATGCTTAATATCTAAACTCCAGCTATTTGGGTTTTTTCAAAGAAGATTTTTTAAGTTTTTACTATATACATATAAGGAAAATCAATGACCCCCGGGGCGGGGCCAATTTTGACCCCAGGGCTTTTATTTGAACAAACTTGGCAGACACCAATTAGAACATGTTTTATGCTAAATATCTTAGCTCTTTGAGTTCTTTAAAAGAAGATTTTTTAAGTTTAAACTATATGCATATAGGGAAAATCAATGACCCCCCTGGGGCGGGGCCAATTTTGACCCAAGGGCTTTTATTTGAACAAACTTTGTAGACACTCATTAGAAGATGTTTCATGCCTAATATCTTAACTCTAGCTATTTGGGTTTTTTCAAAGAAGATTTTTAAGTCTTTACTATATGCATATAGGGAAAATCAAAGACCCCCTGGGGTGGGGCCAATTTTGACCCAAGGGCTTTTATTTGAACAAACTTGGTAGACACTCACTAGAAGATGTTTCATGCTTAATTTCTAAACTCTAGCTATTTGGGTTTTTTCAAAGAAGATTTTTTAAGTTTTTACTATATGCATATAGGGAAAATCAATGACCCCCTGGGGCGGGGCCAATTTTAACCCCAGGGCTTTTATTTGAACAAACTTGGTAGACACACATTAGAAGATGTTTCATGCTAAATATCTAAGCTCTAGCTCTTTGGGTTCTTTAAAAGAAGGTTTTTTAAGTTTTTACTATATGCATAGAGGGAAAATCAAAGACCCCCTGGGGCGGGGGCCAATTTTGACCCCTGGGCTTTTATTTGAACAAACTTGGTAGACACTCACTAGAAGATGTTTCATGCTAAATAACTTAGCTCTAGCTCTTTGGGTTCTTTAAAAGAAGATATTTTAAGTTTTTACTATATGCATATAGGGAAAATCAAAGACCCCCTGGGGCGGGGCCAATTTTGACCCCAGGGCTTTTATTTGAACAAACTTGGTAGACACTCATTAGAAGATGTTTCATGCCAAATATCTAAGCTCTAGCTCTATGGGTTTTTTTATAGAAGATATTTAAAGTTTTTTTCTTTTGGTTGCCATGGCAACCAGAGTTCTGCATGGAATTAAATTCTTTGAACAATTTTAAAAGGTGACCACCAAAGGAACATTCCTGTGAAGTTTGGATGAAATTGGCTTAGTGGTTTATGAGGAGATGTCATTTAGAGTAAAAGTTTACGGACAGACGGACGGACGACGGACGGACGGATGAAAAGCGATCACAAAAGCTCACCAAAGGAACAATAAAAATAGCTAAGCTACGTTCAATGGTTTCTTTTATTAAAATTTTAACAACTTTTTTTTTGCCATTAAAACAAAGACATTTTTTACCCTTTCTTCAGAAAATAAAACAATCAAAAGTACATTCAAATATCAACCTTAAACTTGTTTTATTTATTCATTACAAAATAAACTTCATGAAGGAATATTCTTATTCAAATGAGGCTATTTGAGTATTAAAGCAGGTTGTCAGCAACAGTGTTAAAACCATTAAAAATGTTGACTTCCTGCTCATTTAAAAAGATATTTTAACAATTAAGACAATTTGTCCCATCTTTCCTGACCATAACTTTCACACATTCACATTATGGTAAGGCCATCCTTAAAAAAATGTTTGTTTGCAGTAACCCGACCCAGAATTTTCAAGGTGGGTAGGTAGGTCGATTTTTTTTTTATTATTGAACTGTACTCCTAAATATACATGGAATTTCAAAATGCTGGACAATATATGCTTTGATAATCTGGTAACAATTAATAAATTGATAACTGAATTCTAATTTCCTTTAAAAGAACGAAAACAAAGCACAAGGCATAATTTTCTGATTCAAAAACAAAAAAATATCCAGACCATGAAAAAAAATTTGAGTAGGGGCAAATTTTGTGAGTCGGTCATGTTACTGCAAACAAACATTTTTTTAAGGATGGCCTAATTTAAATATTCAACAAGTATGAACCAAACCCTTGTCCAAAATGTTCTTTTGTCAAAGTATGAAGATAATCCATTTATTAAATACAAAGTTACACTCAATTATAGCAAAAATCAGTGAAAATTTATTAATTTAACCTTCAAGGTCAAGATCATTAAAGAGCAAGGTCAATTTGAGATTGATATAAACATGAAGGTGTTATCATAAACAGATGTGAATATGAAGTCAATCCAATAACAAAGTTATCCCAGGTTACAGCAAAAAGATGAAAATTTCAGTAATTTGACCTACAAGGTCAAGGTCATTTCTAGTGAAGGTCAAGGTCTGTCTGGTCAACTTGAAGGGCTACCCTGAAAGATTATTATGTTTCAGTTTGAAGACAATCCATTCAAAAAAACAAAGTTATTGCCACTTGAAGCAACAAGAACAATCGGAGAACACATGTGTCGCCTCATGATAGCAATTACTCAGCAAAAATCATTCAACCAATATGCATGAGAATTTGAGCTATCGATCAATCCTGTAAAGTTTCATTGAAATTGCATAAGTAGTATAACAGGGGTACTACAGACAAATTGCAAAATTAAAATCATGAAAGGGTCGAAACTCTGACAACAAGAGGGCCATGATGGCCCTGAGGTCGCTCACCTGTATATAGCCAACACCCCCCCCCCCCCCCCCCGGGCCAATTTTTACCCAAGGGCTTTTATTTGTTTATTTGAACAGCCTTGGTAGACACCCATAAGAAGATGTTTCATGCTAAACATCTAAGTTCTAGCTCATTGGCTTTTTTAAAAGAAGACTTTTAAAGTTTTTACTATACACATATAGTTAAAAACAATGACACCCCTGGGGCAGGGCCAGTTTTGACCCCCGGGCTTTTATTTGAACAAACTTTGTAGACATTTACTTAAAGACGTTTCATGCTTAATATCTAAACTCTAGTTATTTGGGTTTTTTCAAAGAGGATTTTTAAGTTTTTGCTATACACATATAAGGAAAATCAATGACCCCCCCCCCCCGGGTGGGGCCAGTTTTGACCCCAGGGC